AGGTCCGTAAGGAAAAATAAGGGGGGGGGGGCGAGGAACAGAGTTGAGAGCAGTAATAGGGCAAAGGACACAGACACATTTTCTAATTGTAGAGAGCGAATTTTGGAGGTTGCATCCCTTCTCATCCGATGGTTGAACAAATCCCCTCTACAAATCCCAGACTTGGATCGCCCAGCCTCCTCCCTATTTTAGAAGCAAATCACTTCTCTCCCAATGCCCCTTTGCAAGCATGTTGTCACCCACCTCCGAGGACCGTGCCCAGGAAGATGCATTTCTTTTTGTGACGTTTCAGAAAATTCCACATAGATCTCAGCATCTTCAGGCCCTGGAGTGTGTGCTGCGTAGGGGTGAGAAGCTGGTTCACCGGGACACTGATTCGTCGTCACCGGGCCCGGAAGACCCGACAGGAACGCCGACGTCCTGCTTGATGCTCACCAGAAATCACAAACGCGACTTTCGGTGAACACTGTCACCGGAGCGGGAAGGGGGCGTGGACTACAGCAGAGCAACTGCGCTTTCCGCCGCCGCCACGGAGCCGCCGCCACAGCTCACTGATCCGGGAGGCCCAGGTCCGTCCAGAAATCGTTCCCGGGTGCCTTGCGATATTACTTCCCTCGGAAATAACGGTCCGCTTCCTCAGAGTTCCGCTGCTCCCGCTCCTGCTCTTCCGGTCTCAGGTCTTGAGCTTTGGCGGGGTGCAGAATGGAAGCGAAGGCAGCGTCCACACAGGCTCCAGGCAGCGCGTGCTCGGTGTCCGCGGAGGAGATCGAAAAGTGGATGGAAGAGGCAATGTGTATGGTGAGGAACGCGGGAGGCGGAGCTGCGGGTTGGTTCTCCCGCCTTCAGTCCCACTCCGGCTTTGAGCAAAGGTCCCGGGTGCGCTTTATTGTCACCCTAATCTTGATGGCGCTCCAATGTCCTGAATAAACAGCTGGTTTTATTTATTGTCATGAAATTTTCTTTAGTTCGTTCTCCATTGGTTCTGGGAGAAAGAAGGTGGGGAAACACAGAAACTATTTTATTTGTTTCCTTGATATGAAGTATACGCCAAACAACTGTGTTCAATGGACTCGCAGGCACGTGCTGCTTCCCCTTCCATCCTGTGCACACTCGCACTCTCAAGTCCATAGTCACATTGTGTTGTGTTTGAGCCTCCTAAACATAGCTAGTCAGAGGGTATGAGCTTGGGATGCTTCTGCTAGAGAGCAGTATGAAAACAGGTCTGTACAATCTGTCTTTCATCCATTCGACTGTGTGGGCCCTTTTACTTCTTTCCCTTGCTCACTGTAGGACTGCGAAGAAATACTTTAATCAGATTTGACTATACTCTCAGTTTTACCCATATCCGTATGTGCCAGCAAGCTCCTAAATAGGTATAAAAGTTTGGAATATGTATATATCTGATTATGCGTGCATGTACATTTATATATGTGTGCATATCTTTATTTGCGTACATATATGTATATACATGCACATATATATTTATAAAATGCCCTTCAGTTTTTCATTTTTCTGATACTCTAAAATGTACGTATATATATTTAAAAACATTTTTTAAGAGAGATTTTTGCTATAGAGGGTGTGCACTTGCTGGAGAGACAGAGAGTGACAGAGAGAGGAAAAGTGAGAAATCACCCCCTCCCTCCTCCCAGGGGAGATGGCCACACTGCTGTCCCTTCTCCTCTATTCTTCTCTTAGGATTTTGGGCATGCACGCACTTGTGCCTGGCATGAGTTTCAAGCCTTCGGGCCCAGAACTCGAACCACAGTCTGCCGTGTTGGTCCAGCACCCCAAGAACCATGTCACCTGCTGGTCCCTCTAAAATATTTTTTTCATGCATGTTTTTGATTATGTTTTTCTGTAGTTAAGTCTCCTATACTTCAGTAACTCTATAATTATTCCTTCTTTCATTCCGTAAGTGTTTAAGTGCATTGTGATCAGCATTGAGAATTTAACACTAAAATTGATCTTGCTGTGTTCTCCTTTGTTCTCTCCATACTAAAATAACTTCTCATATACTTTCTCCTGCATTCATGCACTATTATAGCCAAACATTTTTTTAGTTTTTATATAAACGATGATGTACTAGAGCATCTATTTATTGCTTCTGTTCCTTATATAATTTTTAAAGAATTATTTCATTTAACTTTTTATTTATTTTAATTTGACCAGAGAGGGACAGAGTGAGAGAGAAAGAAAGAGAGAAAATGAGAAAGCAAGCTGCCAGGTCCAGGACTCTAACTGCAGTCAGCCATATAGGAGTCCAGTGCCCTTAACCACCATGCCACCTGCTGGCCCCACTTATATAATACTATTTTAAAACTGATTTTCATGCAAAGTGCCTCCACAGTAAAAGAAAAAAAATATATTTTACATTTCAATCCAGGGAACACAGAAATAATTTAAATGAAAGTTTTGTAGAATAGTAGTTAACTCTTCCATGTACCATTTTTCTTGCATTTCTATACTTTGCATTTTTAAAAAATGCTGGTTGTGACCTCTTACCTTGACATCATGATCCATTCTTTTTTTTTTTTGGAGAGGTTTTTGCTATAGGGCGCATGTGCTCACCAGACAGAGAGACAGAGAGATAGAAAGCGAGAAATCCCTTCCCCCCCCCGGGGGGATGGCCACGCTGCAATCCCTTCTCCTCCATTCTCCTCTCGGGATCTTAGGCACGCACACACACACGCCCAGCATGAGTTTTAAGCTACCGGGTCTGGGACGCAAACCGCGGTCGACTACATGGGAATCCAGCGACATAGCGATTACGCTAACTGCTGGTCCCTCATGATCCATTCTTTAAGTCCACTTCAAAATCTGTTTTCTTTTTAAAATTAAGTTATATTTACTTCTTTTGTGAATGAGAAAGAGAGAGACAGCAGCACTCCCAACAGGGTGGGGGTGATCAGCTTTCATCTAGCCCTAGATCATGGGCAAGAGTGTGCCCAGTATACTCAGGCAGGTGTCCAGACCGGAATGGAGAGCCTCCCGGTGAGACTGCCTCACGCATCCTATTTTACTTCTGCAACATTGCCTGGTACCCAAATCATTTTTTTTCTGTTAAGCTTACAGGATAAATAAACTTCTAATATGTAATATATATATATATTTTTTTTTTCATATGCACTTGAAAAATTAATTTATGGGCCAGTAGGTGGCATGGGGGTTAGGGTGGCTGGATCCCACATAACTGACTGAGTCATTCAAGTCCTGTACTTGGCAGCTTGAAAATCAAACGGGGCATGTGTGCATCCGTGCTTAAAATCTCAAGAGAATGGAAGACAAGGGAGTGTGGCATGGCCATCCTCTTTGGGGAAGGGGGTGATTTCTCACTTTCCCTGTCTCTCCCTCTCTCTGTCTCTCTGGCAAATGCATGAACCCAATATTGTAATATGTGATATGAATTTCTTTGGTCTTTTATTCTTTTGCTGTTAACTAAATTCTCCAAAGTGGAGACAAGTTTTCATGTGATATTAAAATTTCATATTACCTCCCCCAGATTTCATTAACGTGTGCTAGGCAACTTATTAGTGGTGATGATAAAATAATTAAAATGCATGAAAGCTGGAATATCTTGAAGCATTGCATCTACTCATATTTGCACAATTATCTTTCTAGTCTTGTGGACTAAATAATGACATCCTTTTATTACCATTTAGTGTCACCTTGGACAAATCACTTTATCCCTCTAGGATTTCATTTTCTACTCTGTTACATGAGATGGTTATAACTCCAAAGAATTCTAGGATCCTTCTAGCCTTGACATGGAAAGTGGGAAATCACTCCCCAGAGGGAAGTGCACTGCACTTCACTGCAGTCCCTTCTCCTCTATTCTCCTCCTGGGATTTTGGGCATGCATGCACATAATGCTCAGCATGATTTTCAAACTGCCAGATCCAGGACTCTAACTGTTCAGCCATATGGGAGTCCAGCACTGTAACCACCATGCCACCTGCTGGCTTTAACAAAGAAAAACAGTGCTTATTGTAAATCTTGTGCTTTGTTTAGCCATTCCCTGCCCCACCCCCTGGAAGTTTCAAATCTTAAATTACCTTGAAGAATTATTTCTTCTGAGAAGAGCTTAAAATTAAACCAGAATCATAACTAGTGTCAAAACCAGAGGGCAAGTTAATGTCTAATCAATTTGTATTGAGAAATTTGAAAGTGAAATTTCCAGTGTTTTGTGTAATGGGGAGGCTATGGGGTCCTCACTGCATATGTACAGAGTAGACATGTTTATGTGGATAATACAGACAATTTGAGTGGCTGGTTCTTACGGGACCAGGCAGACGAATACAGCCAAGTCATATAATTTCAGGTTTCACTTTATTCATTTTGAAATAAAGGAGTTGCACTACAAAATTTCTATTCTGGGCAGAGCCCTGGTGGTGCAGACAATAGGGTGATGTGGTGCAGTACTGGATCCATATGAGAAGGTCCAGGGTTGGATCTCACGTCGACCTAAACAACCCTGGGTGCCTGCGATCTTAGATGGCTGGAGGACGGCTGGGAGAACTGTGGCTTGGCAAGACCTCATGTCTGCGTGCGTGTGTGTGAACTGGGGAAGGTCCCAATCTGTTCAACTCTCCTTGTCTAAGTAAATAAACTTTAAAAACAAACAAACAAACAAACAAAAGCAGAGAACCAGCCTCATGGCCTGGTAGTTAAGGACGCTATTGAATAGATCCCACACGCTGACCTCATGGTTCAAACCCTGGTCCTGGTGGCTAGAAAAACATGCCCCAAATCCCAACAAGATGGAGAAGGGAAAAGGGATTGTGTTGTTACTAAGCCTCATCAAGGGGTGCTTTCTCCTTCTCCCTCTCTTTCTTTCTGGCAAGCATATGCGTCCATTCTCTAACAAAAAGGAAGAAAGAAAAATAAATCTTTTTTAAAAAAATTATTTATTTTTATTTAATTCCATTTGTTATCATTATTTTTTAATTTGACCAGACAGAAAGAGAGAGAGAGCAAGAAAGGGAAAGTGAGAAAGCAAGCCACCAGGTCTGGGACTTGAACCATGGTCAGCCATGTGGGAATCCAGCACCTTTAACCACTATGCAGTCTGCCAGCTCCAAAATAAATCTTTTTAAAATTTTAGTTTTTTTAAGCCTGCATTATACAAGAAAGAAAAATAATTCTTCAGAAAGCTTAAAATTAATTTTTGGGAACCAGCAGTTAGCGTAATGGCTATGTCGCTGGACTCCCACGTAGCTGACCGCGGTTTGAGTCCCGGACCTGGTGGCTTAAAACTCACACTGGACACGTGTGTGTGTGTGCCCAAGATCCCGAGAGGAGAATGGAGGAGAAGGGATTGTGGCATTACCATCCCCCCTGGGGAGTGATTTCTCGTTTTCTGTCTCAATGTCTCTCTCTCTCTGTCTGGCGAGCGCACGCCCCCTATAGCGAAAACCTCTCCAAAAAAAAAAAAGAGAAAAAAAATTTTTTAGAATTATGAATTTTATTTTATTTATTTATTAGTATTATTTTAACTCACCAGAAAGAGAAGGAGAGAGATGGAAAGTGAGATAGCAAGCTGCCATGTGTGGGACTCAAACTGTGATTGGCCTTGTGGGAGTCCAGCATTCCAGCCACCATGCCAGCTACTGGCCCTAAAAATCTAATTTTAAGACATTAATGAGTTTGTGCAAAAGTCAGTGCCATGCTAGCAGTCTGGCAGGTGAATTTTTGGAGGGCAACCTAGCATAACATAATAACAGCCACACCAAAAAATGTTCTCATCATTTGACCCCAGACCATGGTTATGTAACAGTGAAAAATCAGGAAGAATTTCA